CTCAGGGCAGGAGGCGTGGGTCTTACTCCCACCTGCAGGAAGCTGCCCACGCAGCACCCGTAACTACCCCATTTTTGAGTTTTCGTGGGACCCACCATGGGCAGTCGAAGTTCTGTTCAGGGTCAAAACAGAGCACTAGTAAAAGTAACTCCAAAGTAAAGCCTCTTCTATTTCCTGACACAAATTGTCCAAACAGCTTACAAGAAATTATACCAAATAATATAATGGAATTAGCCCAGCATTGAAAACGATGGACTCCAACGACTGGGTATACCTAGAAAAATTAAGGGTCAAAAATGAAATTCCCTTTCCTCATGAATTACGAAGAACTTAAGGTACAACCCTCGTTGGACCAATTTGCTACATAATAAGAAGTCTCACCTGGAGAATGGAGGGTCTGTTCTGGAAACAACTGCTTGGCCCAACATCCTGGTCCCCCCAGTGGCCTGAGGGCCCGTTGGCTCCATGCTTGCCTGAGGCTGGGAACCGTGCTTCCCAGAATGCCCTTCCGCCAACGGCTCCAGGGCCAGCGTGCCCATGAAGGGAGCTCGTGTGAGGCGTGAAAAGCAGAAGGGCAACAGCATCGTTCTTCTTGGGGCTTTGGGAGTGAGATCTGGCTCATGGCTTTACAGTCCTGTGAGCTCTCCCGTCACGCGCCATTTTGGAGTTAACGTGGCTTCTCCACTGCCTTGTAAGCTCTGGTTTGCTCGCCCTGTCCCTGCATGAGACCGGTGACATTGGTAAGTAAGGCCATCACTCGGGACAGCTCTTGCCACATCAACCTCTCAGCTCCTGTGACACCAGCTGTCCCAGAATTTCCAAGCTGTGGTTCTCTGGATATTGATGCATCCTGGTTCTTGATGGGGGGGGGGGGGGGGCAGATAAAAGGGTTAATTTGGAAAGCTTAGTTAACAGTGTGCATAATCGAGTCTAAGTCATTGCGTTGTGTAACAAGGGTGAAAAATGGGACTGTATTTTTGATCCATCAACCTAAAAATCCTGTGCAAGTTGGGGATGAATCTTGGTGGGATAACTGCACCATGTCTATGCTTCCAGGGGTCTGGGGACAGTCCTGAAGCCCACAAGACAGTTCAGGCTTCCTGAGGGCGGAACTCCTCCTATATGGCTTTATCCATGTGACCTACACCAAATGAATATCTCATAAAAGCATACCTAACCCAGGCCCAATGTACCTGTGGCCTGAAACTGACCTGCCTCCTAGAGGCAGGCTAGAGAAAGGCTGTTGTCTCCTGAAATTTTCACTGTAACACTGCCTCTGCTCTTTTCAGACCTATGTTGCCTGAAGCTTGAAGTTTGAAGTTACATGCGTTTTCTTATGTGTACCAGAAATTGTGCCAGCCAGTTGTGGGTCCCATTCCTTGGTGAGGCTCTACAGTAGACATATTGGTATTTTGTCTACTACCAGCCCCTCCCATATAGGAATCACCCCTTTCCCATTTCATGTAATTCTGGCAGGACTGTAAATCAAGAGACTGATTCCCACCCACGGTAGTGGCCATATGACCCAGGATGATCAGTCACAACTCCATTTAAGGGAATTTCTATAGACTCTAGGAGAAGAAACAGTATCAACCTCTTTTTCTGAGATTGCAAACTTAGATCTTCTGGGACCCTCTTTTTCACCTAACGGTAAGGCCATGACACCAATGCTGGGCAAAGCAGGGCTCTGAAGTCGAGAGGGAGAAACAGATTCCTAATGACAGCTATTGAGCAACTAGATCCAGCCCAACCTGAAATCAACAGTTCCACAACCTTGGACTTAGTTGCATTAGCCAATGTATCTTTTCTAAAATTTACTACAATTAAGCATGTTATGAATTGGATTTCTATCACTTGGGGGTAATTGGGGGGTGATCCCATGATCTTACCTAACTGTAAGATGTCAAGGGAGTCAGTTTATTTTCTCACTGATATTTTTCCTGAGGGTCACACTGGGTGCACTTATCACACCTCCACTGTAGACATCTGAAGCCCCTTCCTTTTTTATAGTTCCCTCTTTGAATCTACTGCCTCTTGCCACCTCAGGGTGGCAAGCTAAAGGGAGAATATGGACAATACTTCTCAGAGCACTCATTGCCATGGACCTTTCTCTGAAAGACAGACTGTTGTGTCCGTTTATCATGTTAGAGAATCCCTAGTGAGAGTAGTTTTTTGACTAGGACCTCTGCATTCAAAACAACTGTTTAGGACCTCATTGGGAAAGTCTCCACTTATCTTAATCCTGTATTTTCTTATTCACTGGAATAGAGCTTATAGGATCAAATAAAATTAATTTCACAGGTCCTTGAATTGCTTGCCTCATAAGCGCTCCTATTTTTATTTTTTGGAGACTGGTGCCATTTTAAGGGTTCTAATATTCCAGGCCATTAACATACTGTTTCTCTTCTACAATGCCTCTAGCCATGGATTCATGAACCCAATGTAGGAATGTTCTTTTATATCAAGGGTTGGGGAATCCCAGCCCATGGGCTAAAATCCAGTCAGCTGCCTATTTTCATAGATAGTTTTATTGGCGCACACCCACACCCATTTATTTACTGTCTATGGCCACTTTTGTTATGGCTACAGAGACCATATGGCTGCAGAGCCAAAAATATTTAATATCTGTCCCTTTACAGAAAACATTTACTGATTTCTGCTTCTCAACCATGTCCTCATCCTGGCATCCAGTAAATAATGGTACTGGGAGAGATGAAGGAGTTAACATCTTGACAAACCTCTGGAGCGTACTGCTTAGGAAGGTCTCCTCTAGAACACTTGCGGCAGGACGTGGCCTGGTATATACTTGGGATACAACTGTCTGATAGCCCAGTCTTCTTTTTGAGACACCTGGGGACAAATACACGCTCTAAACCTTGGTTCCGTACATTCTGCGTTTAGAAATCCATGTGGACTTCAGTCTTGGCCAAGGCCAGGGTTATTTCTCCTGCTCGTGGGTGCTCTCTTGGGCATCCTGACTTTCTGTGGAAACTATCCGCGCCGCATCAATTAATATATAGTTCCAAAATGAGACTGAGAAAAGCACAAAGATGTTACCATCACTGGTGGGGCCAGTCTGAGCCACTGGGGTTCAAAACTAAGGACCAGCTACCTGTTCAAGAGCCGGACTGTGCCCCTGAATATGTGGTCAGAATCTGTTTCAGCTGTCCCAGTCACTTGTCCTCCTCCCTCAAAGGGCACGCTAGTGACGGCAATTAGTGTCCATCTTCTGAACTGACATTCTGGGTGCCATGATACTCACTGGTGTCCACGACTTCACTTCTGTATTTCAACCCCACGAGCTAGGGAATCCTTAAACGCCCATCATATCTGGAGGTCTCATCACTACACTCTTCCTTTTTCTCATTTTATTATGGAGCAAATGCACTGCAGAAGCCATGAGGAGTGACTGTTCACTCTTCATATTGCCACAGAGGAGAAACATGGGTTAAGAACTATTCACACCAATCAAAAACCAATGATGCAATGTATGGTGATTAACATAACAATAAAAAATTTAAAAAAAGAACTATTCACACCAATAGAAAGAATGAAACTGCAAGTTTATTTGAAAATATAAAAATTAAAAAAAGAAACAAAAAAAAAAAACAAAAACCCAAACCAAAACCTAACCAAAACATGAAAAGCAACCACACAACAAACTTTCCAGTTTACATCAACTTTGAACATCGCACACTCCTTGTCAACCACTTCGTTGCATTTTTTTTTTTAAAGAGCCAATTTTGGAGGGTGGGGGCTGAGTCAGGGAATAAGCTATAGGTTACAGGGATGCGAATTTGAACATGAAAATAAAAAGAACTTGCTGGTCTCATTTGAGAAAAAAAGAGCAGAGATGGTTTTCAGGCGGCTGTAGAATTAGGCAATGTATAAAAAAATAGCCTGGATGGAATGAGTTAAAAAAAAATTGCTGGCCACTCATTTGCCATCTTGATTAGGGGGAAAAAAAAAACAGGAAAAAACCCCCTGCAGCTTTGGTGTCTTATTTATAGATTTTTAAAAAGATTCATTAAAAAAATCACATCTATAATAAAAATGTCCCTGTATTTAAAAACAACAACAACAACATTAATAGGCTTTCTTATCTACTAAGACCATTTGTTTTTCCTAAGATGCCTGGAAGCAGAAAAGCGAGTGAGATTAATTCACTGCACAATTAATTAAAATTAGAATCCCTTTCTCTAAACAACTTCCAAAATACCAGAAAGAAGCACGGGCCCATCAAAGGGAGAAAAAATAAAGCCATTCTGACTCACAGGAGATGAAATGCTCAGCCAGAGCTCCTAACACACTCCGGCTCCCATTGAAAGTTCTTTATTGGCTCACACAGAAAATAACTTGTGTTATTTAAAAAAATGAAAGATGCAAGCAACTAGGCTCCTTTTCTTTAACTTAAAAGAGACAGAAAGAAATCACCAAGTGGCTAGCTTTCCTGTAACACAGTTTGGATTTGGTTTAAAAAAAAAAAAAATAAAGTCCCGAGAACAGGATCATTAATGCCACGTTCGTCCCCCGACTCGTGCAGGCTGCACTGAAATTTGCATCAGTGAGGTCACTGAACATTTCTTCTGCTATGTAAGGAAGTCCTGAATGGGTGACCGCTGCCTGGAGTGGCTCCACCTGGTTCCAGTTTTGTCCCCCATCAGTGTGGTTTCTTGCCAACGAACGCCCACATTTCTCCCCACTATTTCTCCAGGGAGTGGGCCCTGCAGCTGGCTGGGCACAGAGAAAGAGGAAAGCAAGCATAAACACAGAGACTATGAACCGAGGGAGAAAGGCATCCCTCTTTCTGCATCCTTCAAGAACTCGATAAATAGCAACTCAAAGTGCAACAATGCACAAATGCCTGGCACAGAGGTCAGTCTGGAGTGACTCGGTATCGAGGCTCAGCGGGACAAAGGTGTGATCTCCTTTCGCATCTTTCTTTGGACCTCACTCAAGGAGAAACAAACAAAGAAGACAACTTTCCTATACACATATAAATAATCCCTTAACTAGAAGGGAAAAAACAAACACACTGTTTCAAATGCATTTCTAAGAGATTAAAAAAAAGTCCGAATGGCAAATCTCGACTCCAAATTGTCTACTGTCCAAGTCTTTTAGAGGAGAAACTATGGCAGGTCAGAAGAAGCCTGAGCCTGACACTAACCCTAACACGAATGCTGAATCAGGGTGCTGGTTTCTGGGCCTTGGGCATGGAAGTGTGTGCAGCACAGGGAGCCAGGGGCTCCGGTGGGAGGTACTGAATATGGTTCTCACGCGTGTCAGGAACCACAGTGTCCTCAAGTCCAAACACACAGGTACAATGACTTCTGGAAGTTAAGGTAACCTGGGAAGCTAGTGTGGAAAGCTGCATGAATGGGCAAGACAGGCTGGGAGTGGTTTCCAGGGACAGAGGACCAGATCAGATTTTTGGCCAATTCAAGTTGGGTCCTCCTTCCTTGGCTCCGGGCAGGTCACAGCTGGAGGGATGACAATCCAGAAGCCAGGGAAGGCCTAAGCAGGCCCAGGCTCTCGATAGCCTGCATTTTAGGAGCTGAGAACTCAGATGAATGTAGGGCAGGGGCTCCCTGCCTATTCTGGGATGAGGCTGAGGACAGATACTGCAGAGAAAACCCTCAAAATGAGGATTCTCGGGAAAGTTTCAGAGTCGTTCAAAGAACCAAAATGGCCCTGCTGATGGCTAAAGGGCATAACTCTTGGCCAACGCCTCCTCTGGCCACCACTCCGCCAAACTGAGGACGGCGTGCACGAGTGTGCAAGGTGGGGTTTGACGCTCACCTGGACTCCTCCAGGGTGGCCATCCATGCCGGCCTCCTGGGAGGGTCATCTAACCCTCGTCTCCCATGGAGCTGCAAGGCAGCGGCCCATGGAGAATGTGGTCCAGGGTCTCCTGCCCTTCTGAACATCCACCGTGGCACGGAAGCACTGCGTTCTCGAGGACTCCCCAACTCCTGCCTTACCCTGCTGCCTGCAGACTGAGGCTGCCTATTCAGCAAGATGCCACCAGTCACAGAAGAATGGTATGACAAGTGAGGTCATAATCCTGGGCCCTGAAGGCCGAGTGACCTCCCAGACAAGATGCACAATACATCAGGTCACCTGAGAGGCCAGCAAAACGCCAGGTCTCCCTCGAAAGGACATCCCTGAAATCTAGGGCGGGGATGGGGGGTGGGAGGGGGAACGGAGAGACACCCTCCTTGAGGCACCCTGAGGAGCTTCCCACGAGCGAAAGTTGTTAGGATGGTAACAAGTCGGAGCAGATGGACCCATATGGACCGTGGAAGCGGCGGATTTAGACCTCTGCGGCGCCCTGGCTGGGCACGGAGTCCCTGGGCCTCGCGGCGCTCTCGGGAGGAGGGCCGGCCTGTCCGGGGCTGCGGCCGCTGTCTTCGGCGCTCAGCAGGCTGCTGGCCGCCTGGGAGCCCGCGCTGTCGGCGCTCCCCGAGCGCGAGCGGTAAGGGGGCAGGGCGGCTTCGTTCAGAGACTCGGTGTCCGACGAGTAGGGCGGAGGCGGAAGGTCGTACCACGCGGGTCTGCAAGGGAGAGAGCAGGATGGGGCAAGAGAGGCAGGGGAGAGCAGAGGGAAGACAACGCGTTAGGAGCCAAATCCCCCTCCGCCCCTGTCCCCGGGATGCCGATGGGACCCCCGAGGAGTACGGCTATCCGTGGACTAGGGTAACCCCTGCAACAAGACCAAGGGAACGGGGCAAGGTCGGGGTGCTGTGGCTGGCGCGTGCCAAATGGGCAGTGCCCAAACCACGTCCTCCAGGTCGGCCCAGGGGGGAGGATGCCCGGCACCAGCCAGGGAGGGGCCCTGGGGCCTAGCGGCTGGCCGGCTGTTCGGGCGTTCTGAACCTCTGATGGTCCACAGAATTTGGGGTTCTTACTGAAAGCCAACTTTTCCTGGCTGGCTGGGCTTGGGTGAGCGGGGATCTTCCCATTGATGAAAGGGACAGTAGGGACACTGGCTTGCTGTGCAGTAACACTGCAGAAAAGACAGTTTATTTTGCAGCTCTTCCTGCAGGCATCCTGCGAGCCAAGCACCGTGCTACCTGCTTTACCTGCACTACCTTACTTAACGCTCATGAGAACACTAAGAGGTGGGCGTTACCTTTACGCCCATCGTACAAGGGAGTAAACGGAGGCAAGGGGGCATGAAATGACTTGCGTAGGATCACAAATAACTAGTAAGCAGCTGCTCTGGGATCGAAACCCAGGTGTTCCGTCTTCGGATTTGGCAACTTTAACTTGACTCTACATTGGCTGGTCCAAATGAAGAGGCTGAGTGGTGAGGGAGGTCCTGGGCTCTTCCCCTTATTTGCAAAGATGTCCTTAAGCACTGCCCTCCAATGTCACCTCCACGTTTTATGGGGAGGAAAAACAAAGATTAAATAACACAAGAGCTGCCGCAGGAGAGGGTCCAAGAGCTGCCCAGTCAGCCCGGGGGCATGACCTGCAAAATGCCTCTCGGCACACACGTTGAGCCCTGGGCTCAGAGGAGGAGAGCACAGGGGACCTAGAGCCAATCGAACTTCAACATGGGTTCTCTGGGATAACCTGGAGGTCACCAAAGAAGGGAGGAGGAGGCTGAACCGGCAGGATTCAGGTCCACCAGCTGCTTCCACTAGAGAATCCTGCCTTTTGACTCTGTTGCGCTTTCGGGTACAATCCCATTTGTAATGAGGGTCCTATTGTTTTAAAAAGCTTGAGAGTGCTCTATGCTACCTCCTTTATTTTATAAATGGAGCCAAGCAAGGAACCCATTCATTCATTCATTCATTCATTCATTCATTCATTCATTCATTCATTCACAGTACAAACCAACCCTCTAATACGGCCTGGCCACTGTTCTGTGGTAGCAGGTGAGGCGCCAGGCTAGCCAGTGGCCTGGACACGGGTCAGCGTGGCATTACCAGGCAGAAACAGGGCTCTGAGGTGGCCAGGATCCTAGCTCTATGTCCTTGGACAAGTTGCTTAAAATCCCAAAGTCCATTTCCTCATCTGTAAAAACTGAGGCCCTCCCCCAGCGACCTGCAGAGAGGATTAAATGAGATGATACAGGGCGCCTGGGCGGCTCAGTGGGTTAAGCGTCTGCCTTCGGCTCAGGTCATAATCCCAGGGTCCTGGGATCAAGTCCCACATCGGGCTCCCTGCTCCACGGGGAGGCTGCTCCTCTCTCTCCCTCTGCTGCTCACCCCTGCTCGTGATCTCTCTCTCTCACTCTCTCTCGCTCTCAAATAAATAAATAAAAATCTTTAAAAAAAGAAAAAAGAGAGAGAGAGAGGCTGCGTGTGAATTGTCCTGCCAGGACCCAGGACCCAGGACACGCCAGGCCCTGCTGCGGCTGCCAGCAGCTGGGTGCCCACACCCCGCTCTCCCATCGATGACCTCCCCCCCCCCCCACCGCCAAGAACGCACCTCTGGTCCAGGAGGGCCTCTGAGTAGGAGGGCGGGGAGCCCACTTCAGAAGCGTTCTGCTCGGCCTGGCTGGCCACGTACTGGATGCCGTTGTTGACATTGTAGGTGACGTTGCAATGATGGGGGTGGTCCAGGACCACCAGGCGGGAGAGCAGCACCGGATGCTGCAGCCGGTGCACAGGCAGGGTCATGAGGTTGTTCCTCTTGCGCTGGTGATGCAAGACGAGCGCCAGCAGCGCCACCACCAGCACAAAGATGACGGAGCTGCCGATGATGGCATAGGTGATGCTGGGGTAGTACACCAGCTGGTTCTCCGACGTCACGAACACCTGCCCGCTGCCCGGCTCTGAGAATCCCCGGCGGGGGTTGGGGAGAGAGAAGGGGACAGAGCTTACCGCCTTGGCTCGCCCGCCTGCTTCAGACGCAGTCCCAGCAAGTGCATGCAAGTGTTGCGAGCAACCTGATTCCCAGCAGCCAGAAAGCCCAAAACCACCTCCCGCCCCCCATCCCGGCACTGGCAAATGGCTGAACAAAACGGGGGAGAGCCACACGACAGAATATTAGTCCCTTATTACATGAAATGTTCAGGAAAGGCAAATTTATAGACACGGAAAATGGGTCAGTGGTTGCCTAGGGCTGGAAATTGACCAGAAATGTGTAGAGAAGTGAAGAACACTGGTTGGTACGCGTCTGGGGTTCCTTGTGTCTGCCGTGTGCTTACTTTACACCCGGCCCGAGGCCAGGCTTTCAAGAAAGAGAGCCAGTGGAGCACAGGAGAACATCAGGGACTCCGGAACCAGACTAGGTTCAGATCGCTGCCACTGTGCAGTCTCGAACGTACTAGGTGCCCCTTGCAACGTGGTAGCCTCTCCGTGCTGTAATCTCTGTAATCTCCCCATCTGTAAAGTGGGGAGAGTTGTGCGCTTCCAACAACAGCGGACCCCGCCCGACAGGTACGTGTTCCAGACAGACAGACACACGCTTTATCCCCTCTACTCGCCTCATAGCAATTCCGTGCATCGGGTGCGGTAACTGCCACCTTCTTTTTAAGGGGAGCAAAGTGCATCTCAGAGGGTCCAAGCCCCTGACGAGGGTCCCAGGGTTAGGAGGTAAAGACTGGTCTGACACCAGCGCCTTGCCCCTCACACTGTGTCCGGCACCCCCTGACCAGACCCGCTAGGCAATCTGCAAGCATTTCCTCAGACGCCCTCAGGCAAAAGTCTGGGACACGTCCGACCCCCACAGGTTGCCAACACCCCCCTCTCCAAGTGTACTAACAAGTCATGCTTCAAACATCCAGGTGAGGGAGGGGCTTTCCAGTCAGTGGGACACGCCTGGCAACCAAGACCTGGTGCAGGCTGGCCCAGGAAACCAGCGTAGCCCCTCCTCGTCAAGAGCTAGGGACCCCCTGTCTCTGCAGAGGAACCACAACCACCCACTGCTGTGGCCCAGCTGGACGAGAAATCGAAATACAGCCCAAGTGAGCAAATCTGGTGGCCACCCCCTGTACCCGTCCCACCTCTGCAGCACTGAGGTTTTCATGGATCCACAGGAAAAATGTAGCCGTGATAAAACAGCAGGAGCAGGGACCGCTGTGTGCTAAGCTTTTCTAATCCGTTACTAGACGTGCACCTGTTCTGTTCGTCACAGTATCCCCAGTCAGTCTGCAGGATGGTGCAGGCCCTCACTACATGCCTCAACTCAGTGGGAAAATTATCTGTGTATTCGCACACTCTGGGAAGGTAGGTGTTATCATTATTATTATTATTATTATATTCCTATTATTATTATTATTATTATTATTATATTCCTATTTTCCAGATGGCAAACTGACTCAGAGGTGAATTAACCGATAGGTCTCTAGTGAAAAAAAACCACACAATGGGAAATACTCTATCTCCTCTCCTTTCCTGATATAAGCATCTCTTGATTCCCAAAATGATCCGAATCTGCGACAAATGAGTATCTTCCCCCCTCAAGCTCCAGGCTTTGTGTTCATTTTCTTTCCAGTCACACTCAACCAGGAGTGAAAAGCTTCGATGTTCTGGGAGGCCACTGTTTCAAGGATTAACTGTATAGTAAGCTCCTCGACAAAATGCAGAGTGTGCTGCCAACAGTGGAGGGACGGAAGCAATCTGGGATTTTTCCTGAGACAATTAGCTGTGGCACTCGGGAGGTTGCTGGTGGAGTTCTGTCTGCTCTCAGTTTAGCTAACTAAAAAGTGGGTGGGAGCTCGTGTGCACGCGTGTATGTTTGAGAGCTCAGGCTTAAAAGAAAATATCCTCTTTATTTTGTGATCTCCAGCGCAGAGCTGAGGGCTCGAATCCTGGGGCCATCACTTCTAGCTGTTGCTCAAGCAAGTGACTGCACTCTTAGGAGCCTTGGGTGCCTCCAAGTTTAAAATGGTGGTGGCGTGGGGTGCCTGGGTGGCTCAGTCATTAAGCGTCTGCCTTCGGCTCAGGTCATGGTCCCAGGATCCTGGGATGGAGCCCTGCATCGGGCTCCCTGCTCCGCGGGAAGCCTGCTTCTCCCTCTCTCACTCCCCCCTGCTTGTGTTCCCTCTCTCGCTGTCTCTCTCTCTGGCAAATAAATAAATACAAAAATCTTTAAAAAAAAAAAAAAGCTTTAAAATGGTGGTGGCAGCGGTGGGTAAATCACAGTAGCCAAGTCCTTGGATTCTTGGGAGGGTAAAATACAATATATATGCATAGTGCCTGGCAAAGGTTTGCCCTCAGTCAATGCTAGTTCTTTTTGCTTTTTTATTGTGGTAAAATATGTACAGAACAAAATTTACCATTCTCACCATTTTTAAGGGTTTGGTTCAGTGGCACTGAGTACATTCATGGAACTTTTCATCATCTCAAACTGGCTCATGCTCATTCTGAGCGGTCACATTCTTTCCATTATCCTCACACTAACTTCTCAGAGGCAGAGGCGGGGAGAGTCCCCTTTGCAGGGGGCAGGATGGAGGAGAGAGTAAGGATGGAGTGAGTTCCTTTTTAGAGGGCTGTGTTTCCTAGAAAATGAAAGCCGATGGATTTTCCTCTCGAAAACAAATAGGCCCGGAGATTTTAAAACACTGACTTCCGTGTAACCACTTCAAGTTTTAAGAATACAAGAGGGAGCGCTTTAAAATGAATGGAATATGAAATGATTGCAAATCTTAACAGTCTCATTTGTGTCTCCGAAAGCAGGCTCTCTCCAGATTGGCCCACTTTGGCAGGCAAGAAGCGGCAATCACATTTACTCGAGAAATTATGATGTTATGTAACTCAGTGGTGCCTGGTCTCGTTTTTGCTCTGTGTGTAAAATGTCATCTTGTATTAATTCATTAACTAGATTCACTTTTCTTAAGAGCTTAATGAGCCTGCTGGCCAAATTACTAATATCAGAGTTGCCTGGGCCCTGAGTTCTAAGTGAATAATCCATGGATAATGAGGTTTCCATTTATTCTGGCTGTCCCTCAAGCGAATGCCCTCATGCTCCGCTGTCAGACAGCTTGAATTCCTGTCCCAAATCTGCCGCTAAGACTGTGTTATTGCAGGCAATCTGGTCACCACCCAGAGACCACTGCACTCTCGAAACTGCCAGAAGCTGCCGCCGCTGCGTGTGGGAGGACGGGCTGTGTTGTCCCCAGCTCTGGGGCTCTTCTTCGCCTCAGGATCTTCACAGATTTCTACAGTTATCACAACAGTTTTCTGGCAGGTGGCAGTCAAGTGTCCTGAGGAGGCGTGCCTTTTCCTAATGCACAGAGAGGTGCTGTCTGGGCTGATGGAGGCAAAGTGGGGGAACGTGACGCTTGAGACGTGGTGTTCCTTTGCTTCTAAAACATTCCTTCCTCCAGAAGCAAATCGAATTTCCTAAAAGGTACAATTTCTCACCTATCACACTGGCAAAGGCAAAGTTGGAATTTCCCATTTTGTGGGCCAGGTCTTGGGATGACAGGTGTTAACTATTTATTATTCACGAATGTGGCTGGTGGGAGGGTGAACGGGTATCACCCAGGGTGGTGACGGGGTTCACCATACACATCAAAATAAAAATGTACGTGTCCTTTGGTCCAGCCATTCCACCCTCAAGAATCTGTTTACTAGACAGACTCACGCACACGAGAAGTAACTTTTTAATATGCATATTAATTGAAGCATCATTTGTAATAGCACCCATATCACGAATGATCTGAATGTCTCCCAATGGCAGTCGGGCTAAATTAACCATGGTGCCTCCATATGATTCCACACCTATTTAAAAAATCAGGGCAGCTCTACATATGCTGATGGGGAACAATCTGAAAGAGATCTTGACCCATGAAAAGAAGCAAAGTTCAATAGAGAACGCATGGAATATTTCTAGGTGGCCGCACGGAACTGGTAATGCTGGGAGGTCCCAGGGTGGAGGAGAGAGGTGAAGGGAGATTTATTTACTCCTTTCTACTTTCTACTCTTTGTACTACATTGTCCCTTCTAAAACCATGCCTATTGTCCACCACCTTTGGTACTACCTAAGCTGACGTGTCTGTTTGTTTTCCTTCCTTCTCTCCCTGTAATGTGAGGACCCCTTGGGGTCCATGCCTCACAGTCACTCACTCACTTGACAACCCCCACTGACTCCCCACTCCCCGAGTATGGCACCATCGCCTCCCACCTGACCTCTGGAGTCCTGTTCTGGAATGTTCGCTGTCCCATTCAAACTGAATCCTCATCACTCCTCTGAAAGATCAACTCCTGTGTGCCTTTTTTTTTTTTTTTAATATTTTTAAAGTCTCTTTTTCTCCAGATTACATATCTTAAAAAGTCAGGTTGCTTGAGGTAGCTATAATTTGCACACAATCCAACGTCCCTTTTTAAAATGTGCAGTGAGAAGAGTTTCACAGAACAGAACAGTTGCATAACCACGACCACAACAAGATACGGAACCTTTGCATCCCTCCCGAGAAGTTCTCTCGTGCTCTTCTGCAGTCCATTCACCGCCCCTGGAAAACACTCATCTGTTTTCTGCCCAAATGGATTTACTTTTTCCAGCAAGGCTTGTCACTGGAATCATACAGTATGGAGCCTGCTGTGTCTGGTTTCCTCTGCTTGGCGTGGTGCTCCTGAGATTCCTCCACGTTTCTGAGCATCAGTACTGCCCTCCTTCAGAACGTGCAGTTGCACCCCGCAGTACGCAGGGATCAATATTTGTGTCCAGGGAGGGAACTGGGTTGTTTCCAGTTGCTGGAATACAGATCGTTGCATGAACATATATTTTCTGATTTCTTGGGTTTATGCCTTAGGGTTAAGGCTGCTGGGCCACACAGGAAGTGTACGTTGAACTTGGTAAGAAACTCTCACCCTGTTTCTTCACGGC